AACAACATTATATGAAAATCCCTTTGGCCAAACAATACATTGCCTAGACTTAAAAAAAAATATGTAAACAAAATACATTTAATGAGACAGAAACATACATAATCACTAAAACTACTCTATATCTATCTATCTATCTATATATATATATAAGCCACTCTCTGTTAGTAACGCTCCGTTTGTTGGTAACAATGATTAGAGCGCCAGAACCAAATACCAGTACAATTGGGATTTTTAATAATGATCATGTTTAGAACAAGCTCCTTCAATATTTGGAATAAACACGAATACCATGGTATTTTAAATTAATATTTGTTAACATTGGATGCCACAAATTGGATGTCAAAGTGACTCAGTATTACAATGCTCGATTCTTAGTTGAAAGTCACGCATTCAAATCCCTGTAAATTCCTAACTGCTATAATCATGATTATTTCCAGCCATACTGATCAGAAGGCTGTTATCAGTGGTTTGACCAACAATCATAGATGTCTCTCACCACGAGATCTGGTGCTTTTGCTTTTTTCAACTGTTTCGTCATGAATAAACAAATAATTATTATCAGCTCTTTTATCACCACCTTCTGAACAAAAAAAGTTTAAGCACATAGAAGCTGACCATGTTCAGGCAATGTATGATATACAACAATTACAAATTGAAAGTGTAACGGTTATTCCACATAGTGCTTTTATCAAAAATGTAAGCGCTTGTTCCTGTTTATTGATCGTTGGTTTCCTTTGTTTTGTAGTATCGACATTTAGATTAGAAGAACAAATTTTCGAGCAGAAGTGTAAACTCCATACAAGAGGCAAAACACATACTGTATTGTAAGTACAGTCTACGAAACAACAAATTTTAAAATTCAAAATTCTCTTCAGAGCCCAGAATGAAAGAAATCTACATATTGTTGCGTCAGCGAGGTCACGTGACTAATGTCACGCTACTTCTCTCGAACCTTCAGGAATAGTCGGGAGATTACTAGATATAGGGTAGGCTGGTATATATATAAGAGGGTGACAACGTGACGAATTAATGTGTGTGTAGACAGTGAGTAATTGATCTGCAGTCAGAGAGTATTATTGAAGATGAGCA